TATTTATATATATGCGAGTACAGATAAAACTATATATTATATATATATATATATATATATATATATATGTATATAAAAACATATACACACGTATGTACACACAGACACACGTATAAATATATATATATATATATATATACGTACATACACGAGTACACGTATACGTTCACGCACACATGCATACATACAACTATGCATATGTATATATATACATATATATGCATTTACATAGAATTGTATATCTGTGTGTATATATATATACATATATATATATTTGTATATAGTAGTATTATTTTTTATTAGACATACATGCACATATATTCAAACATATATATATATACATATACACACGTATAGGATATATATAAAAATCGATATATACGCACATACAAACGCGCGCATACGCACTTTATATATATATGTATGTGTATGTATGTATGTATATACATGTATTCCACGGAATATTCACTCGCACAGTATAACACACACTTCAAGCTCACATATATATTTATAATATTTTTAGATCAGGAACATGGTATCTGTTTTATGACGAGTTTGGGTAGGAGTATTCGCTTTCATGACATAGTTTAACTCTGCATTATGCCTTCCTCGAATTGCTATGATTCAACTACGTTCACCATCTCTCGAGACCTTACATCTCCAGGCGCCGCAACCCGTGCTATGTCGTTCCGTTGGAAGCAGTTTGTACGTACGTATCAATTTGCTTTAATCCTCACGAATACCTTCTGATCCAACCGACTAATACCACGTCACATCGCTATGTGCATGTCAAAGGTGGTAGCAGCCGATCTGTATAACGTGGATGCGAGTGTAGCCACTATCAAGGCTGCTACGGAGGGTATGGATGTAGGTATTCTGGTGAACAATGTTGGCGTTAGCTACGACTACCCCTGCCTATTTCACGATGTTTCGGACGAGCGAGTTGACCAACTCGTAAAGCTCAATATGGAATCACTCACCAAGATCACACGCGCTGTCCTGCCAGGTGTGTTCAGGTTTAAGTTCTGCGGTCTTGTGCGTATAGGCAAGGTTTACTTGCGTATTGTGTATTTTAATTTTATGAAAAGACTTTATAGTGCAAGTTTCTATGTACATACATACATATATGTATATATGTATGTATGCATATCATATGTAGTTGGAATAGTTAACTTATCGAAATGTATTTGTACACGCGTGTATCCTTCTATATTTATATATATTCGATATATATTTATATTATATATATATGCGAGCATATATGTATACATATATATATATATATGTATACGAGTACATATGTGTATACAAATATATATGCATAGGTAATTATGTATATATATTTATATCTTTTATATAATATATATATACGCGGATGCATATGTATATGCATGCACCCATTTATGTATATGTATGTATGTATATACATATTTTCATAGACATGCTTACATATATATACATACGCAAATATATGCACATATATATATATATATATTTATGTATTAATTTCTATATCTATATCTGCATCCGGATGTTAGTATTTTTGAGTGTTGCTACTAATTAAAGTGATGGATATATGTCCATACATTGTTTCTCTGAAGGAACACATCACGCGCAAGCATGACCCTGTCGCCAGCTATAGTTATATACCTCTAAATGCCTCTCACCACCCCATATTAACTCCTCTACTAACACTATACACTCAATCCATTCGTCAGGCATGGCCGAGCGCCGTCGCGGGGCTATTGTGAACGTGTCTAGCGCCAGCGGCATGATGGCAACTCCACTGCTGACAGCTTATTCAGCGTCCAAGGCATACGTTGACTTCTTTAGCCGAGGTCTCAACACTGAGTACCAACACTTGGGCGTGCAGGTGCAGTCGCTGATGCCGTTGTATGTGACCAGTAAGCTGTCCAAGATCAGGAAGCCTACGCTGTTTGTACCTACCCCGGAAGCCTTCTGCAAGAGTGCCGTGCGTATGATTGGCTACGAGAGGCGTACTACGGGCTACTGGAGCCACCAGCTTCAGGTACGGTGGCTGACCATGGCAAGCTTTGTTATTAAGGTTTAGTTCGTGATGTAGGTATATGTACCTCGCTTCTGTGTGTGCACATTTAGCTTTATACTTATATGGTGGTGTGCAGAAGTATATTATAGAGGGAACATGCATTTCTTATATATATGTATGTATATATATATATATACATATATATATAAATGGTTTTCTGGGGTTTCACGTACGGGTCTTGTACATATATACATATATATATTAAACTAATAAATCGATTTATCATCTTTGCCAGGTTGGAGCATTGGGTTTCTTGCCCGAGTCGATCCAGGAATCGCTGTTGCTGTACTTGAACCGTGGTATCAACAAGGCTGCGCTTAAGAAGATCGCCAAGAACAAAAATCAGTAAAATCTGATATATGATTCTGTATCTACGATAGTTGCTTCTTCAATAAACATATTGGGCTGTAGCCTTTAATGACAATGCTGTATATCCACTTCAATGACATTTTTAATGAACATGCTTCTGATTTTGTATCGACGTGCGAGGCGACTGAGTCGTTCGAACCTATACTTGGCCAGCCTTGATACCCTTCACGCCTGGACGAAGTATCACGACGTGCAAGTACTGGTTTTGTGAGTACACGCATACTTGTTACGAATCGCAGAGAGGATGTCACATTTAAAGGTGTCTGAATGAAGTTTTAGAACACAAATTGTCGTACTGGGTTTGTCATTGACAGCACTTGTGAGGTTAATATGGAGTTGAACCCTTCGTGACATGGCGTAACAGTCTTATACAAACAGGTCGCTTCTTAAGGACAAAGCCCCTCAGTGCTACCATGTTAAAGAGACATCCAGTCTAGGACTATCATCCCTACAGTGGATGAATACGGGGTTGGAAATGCATACTCGAAATGTTTCACCCAGAGAAAAGAAGCACTTTTGAAACCAAACACGAAACAAGAGAATAATATGATCTGCAACCCGACCAACTCCCTGTTTGCCCATAGTCTTCGTCTATTTATTTCAAGAAGTTGTAACAGGTCCGTTGAAACTTAACGGTAATATGTTGATCAAGGCATCACAATCTTATACCATACCAATGTCTATTAATAGTAATTCAGGGTCTATTACTAGTAATTCAGGGTCTATTAATAGCAATTCTGGCAATGGACTCAGCGGCGCTTCCTGCGTCGTCAATGGTGTCCATATTCATGTTTTCTGGGCAGCCGCGTAGGTAGGACGCTTCGGTTTCTCTCTCTCACGCGCATTGTGCAACCGTACACTCTTATGAGAAATTCCGATCACCTCGACTTCGCTTCGACCTCAATATGAACGACATGGCTGATACTACATGACACTAATATACGTACTACATCGGGAAGATGCATACATCACACAGGATTCGAAAATGCCCCTTTCTGATATTTCAAACACAAAATACTTTATTTCTCAGGTTATCTATACGCCATTCACCTCAGCGCAAGTCTTTTATTTACAAAGCACCGGCAAGGATTGGTTCGTGACCTCTAACACCACTCGTTGGTGCAGCGGTTTCATATGTACATCCGGTTTATATCTAAGCATACACTGCATGTGTAGACTCGAGCGCACATACGCGTTCATGTGTACACATTCAGTGCAATTACACATCCTATGCGTGCTAGGTGGCCTATCTAGTCTCGATAGCCTTTAATTGCTTCCTCGACATCTTCTTTATCTTCCGCGCGTTTGAGATCTGCCAAGAGCGGATACAAATTTAAGAGTGTTAGTAGCAAGAAAACTATGAGCTATATAGAAATGAAAGCTTCATAATACAATACTCCCCGTGTATACACAAAATGAATACTTACATACATACATATATACATCAATATAAATGTACATGTGCAGATATAGATCCACAAAAACACACGAAAAGAAACACAACGCACAATATATATATATATATATATATATATATATATATATATATATACATATATATATATATATATACATATACATATATACATATATAATATATGCATATGTATACATATACATATATACGAGTATCGCCAAATTTGTTGTACTCTTAATATCTTGCTCAGAAAAAGAGGCACAACGAAGCAAAGCAGCTATAAGATTTTATCTAATAGATTCAGATAGGTTTGTGGGAATATATTAAAATACACCTGACGAACCTATTCAAAGATCGGGATACCATCCCATAATGTACATTATGCCCGAAAAACTCATCCATGGTGAACCGACGTGCATACCCCAGGGACTGACTACCCCTCACAAGACAATCACACCCACACACAAGTGAACAACTTCATGCACTACACATACACAACACAAGAACACTCATCCGTATTCCACTGCCCACACATAACATACCACTTGCACGACTTCGGCCTTCTTTGCCTTTCGCTTGATATTCTCTTCCCGTTCTAATCTAGCCGCTTTCTTGGCCGCTTTTTCGTCCGCTGCTTTCTGGGCCAGTTCAGCCTCGTATTCCTTGAGACTGGCGCGTTGTGCGCGGAGTTTGACTTTCTCTTCAAATGTGCTTCGAACGGCTCTTTGATTCTTGATGGACGAGAATCTGAAAAGCGATACGAACAGGCACGAGTATGAATATCTGCTTAAAGACTACATTATATATCATGCTATTGTGTGCATAGACAACTCCTAAATCTAGACCGACGAGGATCTACGGGGGTTAGGAAATGGACACTGTAGAAATAACTACACTCGTGAAGTCTGTATACTGTTTCTGCCACATAGGAGATATTGCTAGTTTAGGCATGTCCTGTAAAGCATAAGATTGCAAATTGCTATTTATAGTCACAGCCATTTACGACAAAAAGAGAAATAGTATACAGGCACTTGATACCGATGTAATACGTTCCAGTGCGCACGTTTATATTAGCCCGTTTTCATTGTATTGCTATGCTTCTGTGCGTCCGGCTAGGCAAAATTATACACAGTCTAACTTTACACAATTATATTTTAGAGGACTATATCTATAGTATACGAATAAGGATGCTACATAGATTTATATGTGAACTATAGGCATATCTTGATGTGATTTATCAGAAAATGAAACAGTACGATATACTTCTACTCAAAACCCACTGTTTCACACGCATACTTGTGCATATCGTTGTATAAAATATGCTGTAAATACCAGGATGTATATGTATATGTTTACGATAATCAGTATAAATATGTTTATGTTTGTGTTTATATA